CCATCACAGGACACACACAGACACAGACACACACACACACCAGGGTCAGTCCATCACAGAACACAGACACACACTCACACCAGGGTCAGCCCATCACAGGACACACACACACTCACACCAGGGTCAGTCCATCACAGGACACACACACACTCACACCAGGGTCAGTCCATCACAGGACACACACACACACACTCACACCAGGGTCAGTCCATCACAGGACACACACACACACACTCACACCAGGGTCAGTCCATCACAGGACACACACACACACACTCACACCAGGGTCAGTCCATCACAGGACACACACATACACACACACTCACACCAGGGCCAGTCTTCCCAGAAGCCCATTAACCCACCAGCGTGTCTTTCGACTGTGGGAGGAAGCCGGAGCACCTGGAGGAGATCCCACGTGGGATGATGTTGCCTGAGTGATGTACTATTTTAGGTCTGTGTCAGATATAACACTTTTAGTCCTGTGGAAAGACCAGGATATTGCTGACTGATGCACATTTCATTTTCTCCCGTTTCAGCCACTGAGCTCTGCAGCTCTTTCAAAGTCTCCATTGTCTCCACAGTGGCACCTCTCACCCGTCCCCTTCTCGTCTGGCTGCTCAGTGTGGAGTGTCTGCCTGATCTCTGCAGCCTGGGTTCCTCCTGCTTGTTAATGATTGATTTTCCTCTGTTCAAGCAGATATGAAGGGTCTTTGAACTGTTTCTACACACTTCTCCTGATCTTCGCTTTCATACAACTTTCATCCCTGATTTCTTTTGAAATCTCCTTGGTTCTTGTGTTCCTTTCAGAGATGGGTGTATTTATTCTGAAACCTTGTGAACCACAATAACCGCAAACAGAGGCCACCCGACTAATCGTGGGGCTCGTTAAGGCAATGTTGTGCACCAAATTTAATTTAGGTTTGCCACAGCATAAAGTTTGAATGATCTTTCCATTTTTCTTTCATGTTACTTCTTTCTTGTTTTTTTGGCTTCAAATGTGTGGAGGAGCCTGTGTTTACACTACAACGTGTCATGACTGCAACTTTTTAAGCAACATAATGTGAAAAGCGTGTCAGGGTCTGAATACTTTCGAAAGGTGCTCTTTAAGCGGGAAGACAGGTAGTGGGTGGGTTGACACTACAGACTGACGGCAACAGACACACGGATAGACCCATAGAGACGCTGACAGAGAAAGACCCTCAGATCCATCAATGGACAAACAGAGCAATCTATGGACAGACCCATAGAGCCACATCACCCTGTAACACACAGCTGTCAGCCCACTGCAGCTCAGCAGGTGTGAGCCTGGTCAGCATCTGGACAGGAGACTGCTGGGAAAAACTAAGGTTGCTGCTGGAAGAGGTGTTAGTGGGGCCATCAGGGGGCGCTCTCCCTGTGGTTTGTGTGGGTCCTAATGCCCCAGTGACAGGGACGCTATACTGTAAAAAAGGTGTCGTCCTTCAGATAAGACATAAAATCAAGGTCCAAGATTAAAAATCTCAGGGTGTTTCTCGATAAGTATGGTTGTTACCCCGGCATGCAGGTGGGTTACACATTGCTGGTGATGGAGGGGAGTCCAAAAAAGCTCTATGTAAGCGTAAGGAAATATTATTACAGAGCCATTGCCAGACAGCCATACCCATAGAGCCATCGACAGACAGACAGAGCACTCTTGCATTTCAGGATCATAGCTCAAATCTCTGCCTCTTCCCACTGTGCCCCCTCCGCACCCCTGAAGAGGCGAACTGAAACGCTGAGTTTTATCTTCTTTCTAGTTTTCTTGGTCGAATTAACGTCTTCTTGTTCTTAAGTAAAACAGATGATGTGCACATAGAGAAAAAGGTTCAGTGATAAAAGGTTCAGTGGACAGATGCAAACAGAATACAAAGAAAAATGTAAAAAGGGAGAGAGAGAGAGAGAGGGGAAGAAGGAGAGTTAAGTACCTGTATACCAGCATTCTTAGAGCACTACCTTTGAAGGAGTCTTTCTGGGTCTTGCTGCACATTCATTATTATTTTCCCTTTGTTTCTCTGGAGGATGTGTTGAAGTGGAATTAAATGTTAATGAGGAGAGCTGGCATGCTGACGGGCACAGGACACCTTCCCTCTCTCAAATACCAGCGCTAATTAACACGGTGAGGTGCACTGCCAGCCCTGCGTGATGAATGGCTGGGATCAGAGCGCGCCGTTTAGAGAGCGGCTGATTAATTTATTAATTAAACATTAAACGAGGGGCTGCTCTCAGACCTGGGGGGGGGGGGGGGGGGGGGGGTGCGGCGGAGTATAATTAATTAATTACAAGGTAAGCAACTTTGGATTCTCCCGCAGAGCCAAGAAGGGTGACGCAGTGTGCAAGAGCAGGACTGTAATTGATGGCTTTAAACAGTGTGTGAGCTGTCATCGGAGCGCTCCCCCGCTGACTGAGGGGGTCCCTGTTTCCACAGAGTGAGCTTCACCCGCACTTTCTGCACGGGCAGGGGCTGTCAGGCTACACGCCTTGACCAGCAGTCACTCATGTTTCAATAACCCCCTGGAGGACGCAAGCACGGAGGTGAGCTTGTTGTGTATTGCTGTGGGTACCCCACTTCTTGTTCCAGGCTGCCTGGCATTATTGTGGGGTACCAGCGCTGCAGGCCTGGAGGGGGGTTGTATACTCTCAGTCCACTCCTATGTACAGACAGCAGGAGAGGTGCTGGCCAGCAGGCTTATCTGTTAATATGTGAACTGAACCGCTACTGAGACAAGGCTCGCTGACAGCACTTCAGTCACTGAGCGATGTCACCTACCCCCGCCCCCTTCACTACTGCCCCTGCCACCCCCCTCGCAGCCCTGCCCCTGCCCTCTCTACGGTCACCCTCCCCTCGCTCCTGCCCCTGCCCCCCCACAGTCACCCTCTCCTCGCTCCTGCCCCCCCCAGGGACTCTCCCCCTCACTCCTGCCCCCCCCAGGCACTCTCCCCCTCACTCCTGCCCCTGCCCCCCCACAATCACCCTCACTGATGACCCTGCCCCCCCACAGTCACTCTCCCCCTTAACTCCTGCACCTGCCCCCCACTACTGCCCCAGCCCCCCTACAGTGACCCCCCTTATGTCCCCTGCCCTCCCCACAGTCACCCCCACTCACTCCTGCCCCTGCCCTCCCCTGGTCACCCCCC